CTTTGATATTTTTTTTTCCAACTAGTTGAGATGTGTATAAGAGACAGGAGTAGGACCCTCAATCTGCTAAACTGGTGGTAGCCACAGTAGGCCTATGTGCGCCGAACCACGGAGATCTCTTGGTCCCTGGTTAAATTTCTATCGCTTCTCTTCTTGTGTTTCAGATGTGGGGGGGGGGGGGGCTGAAATGCAAGTTCCAAAAGCGCACCGATTTCTGGATGAGACGTTTAAGCCTTTAGTGACGTGTGCAAAATGATGTGCACGTTACAGAACACAGTACACTCTTCGGAAAAGACTAGGGGATTGTCTTATCTCTCGGTGTACAGTCCAGTCACCACCAGAAGGACTCCACTGGACCCTCAGCCATGGTTGGGGCCGAGGTGAGAACATTTATAAAATATTGCACTTCTCTCTAGATGCCCTCAAATAACACCTGGTAATTGTTGAGCTGCTACCCCTCCACCTCAAATAGCAGACAAAACAGTAAAAGTTATTTTGGACAGTGAATTCATTATAACCTCAGACCCACCGTGGTGAACCTGATTTGAAAATATTTTTAAAATATAGCATCTGTAGAAGCCAATAAATAGCAGATGGCAATAATCAAAGCATCTACCCCTATCCACGCAGGGGCAGATACAGTTAGTTGAAGTTTACTAGAATTTTAGATATCAAACCCACCTCAGCTGCAATAAGGTTGTAGAGTGGCGTATCTATGGGTGTGCAGGAGAGCGGGTTCCCCGTTTCCTCCCAAATATCTCATGCTCAAATAGTTTAAAATCACCTCAAACAACCTTATTTTGCGAACTAGAAACCCCCTCCTACATCTACGTTGTGCCCAAAAAATGTGTAAGATTGAAAAGACAGTCGTTATCCTATAAATAATTGCATACAATGTGTGATGAAATGTCTCTGAAGGGATTTGAACCCGGGGCTTTCCGCTGTAAAGGCGAGCGAAATAGAACCAGAGCTTTCGGACAACACTAGTCCTTCCTCAGTGGCGAGTGGATATA